CCCCTGGCCTGTCCGGGACCCCACCTGGAGGCTGGATGGGGCAGCAGCCGGGGTCAGATGGAGACCTTAGCACTGGGCCGCCTGGGCGCTCCGTCCACCCGTCCCCTTCCGTTCCATTTCATCACACAGAGGGGACCTTGTGCCCTGCAGGGGACCTGCGGGACCTGGCTGCAGCCCCTTTTCTCTTCTGGAACTCGGCTTCGCATCAAGGTCTTCAGGGCCACCTTCCGTGGCGCTCCCAGCCTGAGCAGGCGGGACCCGAGCGGTTCCTTCCACGTTCCTTGTGTGTGTGTGTGTGGGGGGGCGCCAGGGACGGAACCGGGGACGCGCCCCACGACTGGCCCCACGACTGTCCCCACCAACTGTCCCCACCGACTGTCCCCGGCACGTCTTACCGTATCGTGAGACAGGTTCCTTGCTCACTGCCCAGGTGCCCTTGGACCTGAGAGCCTCTGCCTCACTCCGGGTCACTGGGCCCTGGCCGTGTCCCTGGCCCAGCCACCAGGGGCTCTTCCTCCTGAGCAGGCTTCCGGGAGGTTCCGCCTGCTCCTCCTTCAGCCGGTGGGTCCCCAGGTCAGAAGTGCCCATGACCCGCCGCCCTGGGCTGTCCTTTTCTGTCCTCTTTCTCCGCCTGCCGAGGGTCTGGGGCAGGTCTAGGAGGGCTTTGGAGATGTCACTCCTCCTTTCTCTTCCTGCTTTGTCACTTGAGGGCTCTGGGGAAGGGGACCCTCCACGCAGACTCCCTCCTTCCTTCTTTCTGGGTGCCGCGGAGCCCTGGAGAGGAACCGGGGGCTGCCCGCCGAGCCCCACCCCCAGCCCCGTTTGGCTTTATTTTGAGACGGGCCTCACTACGTTGCTCAGGGCCCTGCTAAGTTGCTGAGGCCGGCCTGGAACTTGCAATCCTCCTGCCTCAGCCTCCCGAGTGGCTGGCTTCGATCATCATGAAGACGGAGGAACTGGCCAAGAGKGGGGGGCACGCCTGTAGCCCCAGCTATTAGGGAGGCTGAAGGCAGAGGCATCGCCAGTTGGAGGCCAGCCTCATCTACTTAATGAGAACGACTCCACAATAAAATGAAAAGGGCGGGCGGCCGCTCAGGCCACAGCCCCAGCCCCAGACTGCGCCCCCCCAGGGCAGAGCCCAACAGAAACCCAACGCCTGAGATCCCGGAGGCCTGGCGGCCTTCCCGCTCKGCGCCAGCCGAGCTCAGAGCCCGGGGCCACAGGCTCGGGAAGAGCCGTGAATGAGGGCTGAGGCCCGGCTGCCAGGCCAGGCGCCCGCTGCCCTCCGAGCTCTCTCACCCCCGGCCGGAGTCCTGCCACCRGAGGGGACTTCCAGTGCCCATGTCACGGCCACTTCTTAGACCACCTTCTGGAATCGCCGCGATCATGCCCCCAGCTGCCCAGCCCTCGGGGGGCTGGGCATCGCAGGCGACCTTCTCCACCAGGCCTTGGGGACCCAAACTGGCCTTGAACTATGCGGGCAGCTGGTGCCCRTCTCCAGGCTGATGGACAAACACTGGGGTTGAGGTTCGAATTCCAGGAAACACACGCGGGCGCCGCCGCCCGAGCCTGGGAGAAGACCCAGAGGGGCAGTCCCTCGCGGCCCAGGGGAGGGGTGCTGGTGGGCTCACCTGGGCCTCGGCTTCCTACCGTCCAGGGAGAGATGGCCGCGCCCTGGAGCCGGCGGGGCCTCGGTGAATGTCCCAGAGAGGCTGGAACCCAGAATCTGGGGTCTGCCCGACTCTGGCTGTGGGGGGTCCGGCAGCTCCCAGCCCCTCTCGGGCCTCAGCTGTAAAACGGGGGGAAGCTGGCAGCAGGGGGAGGCAGGGGGGGGGGCAGGGACTCCACAGCTCACCCAGAACTGCTTTTTTCCTGTTCTGAGGATCGGCGCTCTGGGAGAGACAGTGTTGGAGGGAAGAATCCTGAGGGTCTGTGGCCTGACAGACACAGGTCCGGGCCCTCCAGAATGCTCCTGGTGGCTGAGCATGCACTTGGAGACAGATGTCTGGTTTCCAAGCCCACTGCTAGCTGCGTGATCTTGGACAACTTGCTTAACCTCTCTGGGCCTCCACTGCCAAATCTATAAAGTGGAGCTGATCCTATTTCCCCTACAGGGCAGTTGGGAGAACAGTGTCTGGTGGACCCTGTGGCTGTTTGTTAAATGAATTTGACCCTGTGGTGGGCGCTGTCCCCCACCCCCAGTGGTGTCGAGGAATACATCAGAGGAATAAAGAAAGTCCCGCTCTATCTCAGGGACCTGTGTTTCCTGGAGGTGGCCATGTTGGAAAGAGCCAGCCTGTGGTCCCAAAGTCACAGGTGCTGGGGATGGAACCCCAGCCTGACCCACGCTGGGCAAGGGCTCTTCCATTGAGCGGCACCCAGCCCCAGTCTTCACTACTATTGACTTGTTGTCTGTCTCTGCTGCTTCTCACGGGAATTGGGACCCATACCTCGCTACCCCAGTTTTAGTACCTAGGACATGTCACAGAGGGAATAAACGTCTCAGGGATCAGCTGGACCAGGTTCAAATATCTCCATTTGCCTCGCTGTGTGGCTTGGGGTGTGTTACTTAACTTCTCTGGGCCTCCTTTGAACAGCTGGTGGGTTGTTGTCAGGAGAACATGAGTKTATGGTGGAAAAGTGCTGCTATATTCCAGGGCCAGCACCAGTCGGGCTACAGCTTGTGTTTTTCACCACTCAGCACCTCCGATCCTCTTCCTCTCCTGGGGGCCCGCTGTCAACCCTTGCTGGGTAGGTTGTGTTCAGCAGAAACAGGCCTGTAGCCAGGTACCGCGGCCCAGGCCTGCACTGGCAGCTACTTGGGAGACTGAGGCAGGGGGATTGCAAGTTCAAGGCCAGCCTGGGCAACTCAGCGAGACCCTGTCTCAAAATATAAAAATAAAAATGGGCTGGGGATGCACTTCAGTGGTAGAGCAGCCCTGGGTTCAAGCCCCAGTACCACAAAGCCAGCCAGCAACATGCCCGCCTGCACTTGACCCCTGAGGCCTGCAGAAGGACCACTGGACTCAGCATTCAGGGGTCAGCACCCCATCTGGAGAACAGCGGCTAATGGGGCTCACTCTGGGCAGGCCAGGACAGGCTCAGCCCACGTCTGCCTGGGCTGTTTCTCCTGGGYCAGGTGAAGATGGAGGCTTAGCCAATTCAGGGAGGGTCTCCCATTCCTCCCGGCTCCCCTGGGCCTCCAGCTGGGCCCTTGTCTGTGGCCCACTGCCTGCGTCTTAGACCTCCTCCCTTGGTCGGATGCAGGTCTCAGGCAGTCCTGGGAATAAGCATGGGGCGCCCGGTTCCCCGTGGGCTTCAGATAAACCAGAAGCAAATGTTAAGTTTAAGACTGTCCCAGGCAASCACACTGGGGACACATTATGGTTCTGCTCATTGAGGGTGTGTTTCATTAAGCAATCGTTTATCTGAAATTCGAATTTACCTGGTGCCCTGTAGGCGGCAGCCCTACCTGAGGTCTCCCTCTGCCCCGTTTCAGCTCCAATTTGGCAGCAGCAGAAGCAAAGCCTTTGGGAAGGGCCAGGACCGGGTCTGGGGACAGGGTGGACCTGCACCACCGCAGCAAGCCTCTGTCCTGCTGGCTGGGTCTCCCCGTCTTCYGCAAAAGTCTGCCGCCTGAGTCTGCTGAGAAGGGATTGTGCCATGTGTGGGGGGCATGTTTTGGAAATGGAAAGCTGTTTGGAAACCCTAGTTTCCAGATTTGGTTGTAAATGGGTAACCCAGACCTGGAGGCTGCTTCTGGCAACTGGATTCCTTTTTTGAAAATCAGTTTTTTAAACTAGCAATCTGTGTTTGTGCATGAAACATAAGAAACCAGGGGGGAAATCCCTGATTCCATCACTTGGAGACCACTATTTGTAGGATTCTTGAGCAAGTTGGCGCTTTTTTCTGCATCTCCGGGTGTGCGTGGACTTCCCCTCTTCTCAACCAGGACAGGGCTCGTGCTCTGCCTTCCCTTAGGACGCCGCTTTCSTCTCCGTCCGCTGAGTGTCACTGGGGGCCTCTCTGGGGTGGGAAGACGGGAGCCCACTGCGGGGGTACCCACGGGGGCCGACGCTGAGGCAGGGGTCACTGACTTCCAGGGTTTTCAGTGAGGGACTGAGAAGGGACTCTGTGGTCACCGGCCACAAAGAAGCGAGGCCCCTCCTSCCCTGCTGGGCTGGATCCAGGCCAYGGAGCCCCACCCGGCCCCTCACAGAAGGTCACTGGACCCTCTGGGCCCAAGGTACCCTCATGGGCGCAGTCACTTTCCAGACGGGGAGCCGAGCCCAGAGGCAGCCTGCCCGAGGCGCAGGGCTCTTTACGGAACCGAGCTGTGGGCGGGGAGGGCGGCGCGGGTCGCGGCCTGGGACTGGGGGCTCCGCGAGGTCTGCAGGAGGCCAGCGGGGGCCGGGGGTCAGGGGCACAGGGTGGGGACTCGCGCCGGGGCAGAATCGGACGCGGGAGAACCAGGACCCGCGAGCGGGGGTCTCGGAGGTCCGCGCGAGGGCATCTGGGGTGCAACGGGGGGGGGGTTCCAGGCGTGCCAGAGGGACTGGCCGTGACCTGGGGGGTCGCCAGAGCGGTGAGCTATCGGAGGGCTCCGGGAAGGGCCTGTGGCTTCCGCCTAGTCCCCAGGTGCGGACAGGGGTGCGGGGAGCGTGTAGGTGAGGCGATGGGTGCCAGGGCCCACCCGCGCCGCAGCTGTGCGACAGGGACCCTGGCGGGGCGGCTCCAGGCGGCGCGCGGAGGCGGGAGGAGCCGGAAGCCGGCGAGCCCCTAGCCCCGCCCCAGCCCCGCCTACACCAGGACCCGCCCACATCAGGGCCCGCCCACAACAGGCCCCGCCCACGGCAGGCCCAGCCCACGGCAGGCCCCGCCCACTGCAGACCCCGCCCCGCCCCGCCCACACCAGGACCCGCCCACATCAGGGTCCGCCCACAACAGCCCCCGCCCACATCAGGCCCCGCCCACGGCAGGCCCCGCCCCGCCCCGCCCTCCTCCCGCGCGCCCTCCTCGCGGCCGACCGCGCGCCACCTCAGACCTCCCGGCTCCTCGGCGGTGCAGGCGGTGAGTGCGGCGCGCGGGGGAGCCGGGCGCGGGGGCAGCGGGCGGGAGCGGGGCCCCGCGGCGGCCGCACCTGCCAGGAGCCCCGGGGCGCGGCGCCGTCGGTGGCCGGCTGCCCGAGGGTCGCGGGGCGCGTGTGGGATCGAGCCGGTGGGGGACGCGGGGGTCGGCCGCGCGGGGTCCGGCTCCCCCGCCACGGCCCGGGGTGCCCCGAGTTGGGTGGGGGCCCTGGGCCCGGAGCGCGCCGGCCGGCCCCGCGCCCCTCTCCCGAGAGGAAGCCCCGGGCCCCCCGGGAAAAGGCGCGACCGGCCGTCGGCGCGACCCGAGCTGCGTTCTCCGGGGCCTCGGAGGGGACAGCCGCGAGCCGGCCAGTTCCCACGCCCGGACTGCGGGGCGGGCCTCGGAGGGCGGCGCTCCCGGGACCCCTCCTGGCCGGGCCGCGGGCACTCGGTGAGCGCCGGGGCCATCCCCACGCGCCCAGCGCCGCCCACCGCCCAGGGGTAGAGGCTGGTGGGCCGGAGGGGCACGGAGGTACCAGTGTCCTCCCTCGGGTTTCCGGGTCAGCGTGGATCTGTGCAGTTTGCGTTCTCCTCGCAGCTCCTCGGGGTCAGGGAGGAGGCCATGGGGTCAGCCGGTGGACCTGTGCTGGTCCTCTGCTTCCTCATTTTTCCGGATAATGGAGCTGATGTCATTGACTGTGGGATCAAGCTGTCGTCGTTGGGAAATCCACTTTCTGGAAGCTGCCCACAGGGGGGTACATCCTTCCCCTTGGTGGGGAGTTGGAGCTCCTTCAAGGCTTCCTGGAACCCAGGTGGGGTCCTTTACAGTAAGATGACGATTTGCATGAACGCCAGCCCGGCACCTCCCCTGCCCTCCACCCTCGACCCAGCCTTCTCAGAGTGGTGTTTTAAAAACAGGACCCACCCCGTGCCTGCACAAGGTGGTATGTGGAACCACGCCAGTGTGGGTTTTATCAGGTTGGATCAGGATCCAGAGGGCATCTGATTGCCTTACCTGTCASGCAGTGCCACCCCTTGGCCTGTCACCTAAATGTGGACCCAAGTCTCTAAGAAACATTTATTGTAGCTCACCTGGGGAGAGGCCCATCTTTCTCTTTCCTGCTACTTGAAGGCATTAATAATGGATGCTTTCATTCACATTTGAAAAAGTGTCCTTGTTGTAATGTTTTCGTGGATTAAGTGACTCAGTGATTGATCTAAGATGTAGGATCARTTTCTTAAGTCTCTAAGACACTAGATTGAAGTAATTCCCTGTTGTTGGCAAACACATTTCCCTTTGTTCTTCCTCTTGTGGCTTTCCTGAGCTGGTCGTGGGGAAGTAAAAAGTGCTTGGTGCACAGTGCTCCTGGGTGGTTCCTGGTCCTGAAGGCTCAGGCCAGGGATGGAAGGTAGGAGTGCACTGAAGATCCAGGGCTCGAGGAGAGGAGGGGGAGGAGGGAGGTTTCTTCCTGGTAGGTCTGAACCTATGGGCACTTGGTTCAAACAAGCAGAAGAGTCTCAGCAAAGCTGCAGAGGAGCTGCTGACCAGCCCAGGGTCAAGGACAGTAAAAGGGGAACCCTCACAGAGGAGGGAGCTGGGAGCCATTTCCAGGCTAAATTAATTTTCAAGATGGACAGCGCTTGCTCTGCTTCCGATAATCCAATCCTTGCTGCCCGAGGAAGGAGTAATGCTTCTTTGAAATTGGGCTGCTGCTTCTCGGGGACTTCAGATTCTCCCTGAAGAAGAGTTTTCCCCCAAGCCCCAGTGGGGGTGCAGAGAAAGGGACCCCTAAGAGGAGTCCTGAGAGTCCTGGCACTGTGATCTGCCCTGTGTTTGGTTTTGCTATGACTGCCACGAAGGTACCCAGGTGGTCTCAGGTAGACAGATGTCCTTAGCCCTGCTTCTTGAGCCCGTGTGGGTTTTTGATGTTTCCGGAGTCCGTTGGCCACCCGTGGGTCTTTACTTGCTGCAGAATGGTTATTTGAGGTCAAGTGGCACTTTGCTGGGTCGTCATAATTTCATTTTATTRTTTGAGCTGGCATTGAGTGACACTGGGCAGGGGCCACAGCATCTTTGGAGCTAATGAAGATGACCCTTGGCTGCAGGTCCCTTCAGTAGAAGAATTCTGTCTAATTGCTTTGGGCTTCGGCCTCCCCATCCTAAGGGGACAGAAGACAAGTTAGAGAAAGCATCACAGGTTCATGGATCAAAACTTATGTGACAGGAGGCTTCTGAAGTCCAGAACCAAAGGCCCAGGGATGACTGTCCGGTTTTGTGCTTATATTTGAGGAAAGATGGATAGGAACATGACTGGACAGGGGGTCCTAGCATCTCTTGGCAGACAGGGGAGGCCGTGTTCCTCTCTGGCCAGCTCTTTGCAGGTTGGGAAGGTGAGAGTGGTGTCCTAGGTCGTAGGGTGGCTGGCTTTGGGGGAGGGGTCTGGTTTCCCTGACCCACCTTGGGGACCTGCCTGGTGTGGGGGGAGCTGAGAAAGGAGGACTGGACACTGGGCCTGGAGGGGAGAGACTGCTGCAGGCCCCTCCCCTGTCCTTCAGGCCAAAGTCCACAGCCTGTCTGTGTGCCACACCTTCTGTGGCCCAGCAGGTTTAAGGGGAGGGGTGCTAGAGATAGTGTCTGGGTGATGTGACAGTTCTCTGCTCACTGTCCCTGGGGGAGTTCATTCATTAGGATCCAGAGCCTGAGGCTTCAGGGAAAATCATGATGAGAATTCAAGCTATTTAGCTCCAGGAGCCTTAGAATTGAGAGTGTTCTTGGGTAGACAGCTTCATGTTGACCCTCTTAGGTCTTAACGTTGAACCCAGCAAGATCAAGATCATTCCTAGTTTTTTTTTTTTTTTTTTTTTTTGGTGGTAGTGCAGATTAAACCCAGGTGTGCTCTACCACTGAGCTGCACCCCCAGCCCTTTTTATTTTGAGACAGGGTCTTCCAAGTTGCCCAGGCTGGCCTTAAACTGGCAATCTTCCTGTTTCAGCTTCCTGAGACCCTGGAATTACAGGCATGTGCCACCATTCCAGGCCCCGGGCTTCATGTACCAATATTTAAAAAAAAGAAAAAACACATTTAAAACTCAGGAGGCTGAGGCAGGARGTGGGCAAGTTCACGGCCTGGGCAACTTTGGGAGACCTTGTCTCAAAAGAAAATGAGAAAGGCCGGGGAAGTAGCTCAGTGGTAGAAGATGACTCTGGCATGCTCAAGCCCTGGTGGGAACAATTCAGAAATATTTCCCAAAGTGTGGAAGGTACAGAAGAAACTCAAGCCTACTCTCACCACGTGCATGAGACRGCACTGCTCCCTCATTGGGTGGCTTCTGCCTTTTGTCTCTGTGCTTCTTTTCCACKTAACTGTCACCAGGGTATGTAGGGTCGGTACCGCTGCAGGCTGACTCTTGTTTCATCCGAAGCCATTATTTACGTGCAAAGGGGGGATGTGGTTTCACCAGGAATCCAGAGGGAAGCGGCCCACTCTGACTGTAGGAGCAGCTCCGTGGCCCTGGTTTCCATTCCACAAATCAGGGTAATTTGTAGTTCGGCCACGCTTGAGCCTGGCTTTAAGCTTGTGGTAACTTTATCTTTGACGGGGGACGTATGGCCCTGCAGAAAGGCAGGGAATTCAGAATTCTCTGAAGGATTTCACTGTGAGGTCCATGTTTTTACCATCGATACTGAATTTGAATCTGTTTAGGGTCAGATAAGCAGTTTCTTTCTCCCTTCCCCAGAGAAGACGGGAAGCCCATTTCCCCTTTGTGTGGGTCCTTCCTCCTCCTCCTCCTCCTTCAGGGTCAGTGTCTTTCACTCCCTGGACGTCCCTGGAACCAGACGCAGGTTGAATTCCATGGCAGAAATCTGTGGTTTTCAAATCACCAGCCAGTGGCCCTGGGCTGGAGAATTTGAACCCTATTTGATTTTGCCGTGCACAACGTGGAGATGCCCAGGGTTCATCCTAGCCGGGATCCAGCTGCTCACATTGTTGTAGGAACTTGCTTCTCCMTGAAGGATTCTGAAAGACCAGGCCTTGGTGGCCTCCCGGCTGTCTTCCTCCTTGTTTACAAACGAGGCTGTTTTCTGAGTGCTGACCGCTTGCCTGGGGGTGTCTTCCTTTTGCCCAGGGCCTCCCTCTCCTGGGGTCATGCCTGCCATCTGCATATTCATGGACTCTGCCCCGGGGTTTCTTTTCTGGGGCTGGGGGGGCAGCAGGGCCCAGTGGAATTGAATCATTCTTTTTCTTTCTGGAAGAATTGATCTCAGAGGATTAAGTTGGTGGTTAAAAAGCTGCTTTATTTCCCCGAAGGCCTTGGCCTTTCTGTGTGTTGATCTGATACCTAAATCTAGAAGGCAGCAGGGGCTGTATTTATAGAAGCATTTACCACCCACATGTGGCCACAGCGACTTTGTGGGAGTTTTGACTGAGAGTTTGTGGGGAAACGGAAGTGGGTGATGTCCCCGGCTTTGGAGGGTCCTTGGAAACCCTGTCCTTTTGCTAAAATTCTGGGTTTTCTTTTTCTTTCTTTCTTTCTTTTTTAACTTCCTCTATTACAAAAGTTAGAATCCTTCCCTTCCTCCCCCACTTAATCTTTGGCATTTAACCAAAGTATACTTTTAAAATACTGAGGGCAGGGGACAGAGCTCAGTTGGTAGACACACACACAGAGCTCAGCATGCACCACACACACACACACACACACACACACACACACACACACACTCTTTAAGTTCTTTATTTTTAATTGAGCTTGAATGCTTTGGGATGAGAGCAGTCTCTTGCAGTTCGCCTTATTGTTTCCGGTATTTAGAAGGGTGACCCTGGAGGTAGTCACAGTTTGGCTTGTTTATTTGGCACTGGAGATTCAACCCAGGGGTGCTGTATCTTTAAGCCACACCCCCAGCCTTTTAACTTTTTATTTTGAGACAGGGCCTCACTCAATTGCTGAGGCTGTCCTCCAGCTCGCAGTCCTCCTGCCTTAGCCTCCTGTGTGCTGTGATCAC